TGTAAAGTCATGTAATTAGGTGGCATAATTAGTGGGATTTGAGTGGGAGATGAGTTGTAATTGGTGGAGTATGAGTGGAGGATGAGTTGTTAGGCATATATTCCTCCTAAATTTATGACCATTATACCCTCACTCTTGCCTATAAATAGGCAATGCATTCAAGCCTATATGCACACCAAAATAGAGAGAAGAAGAAGAGAGTGAAGAGAGAGTAATCCCACAAAATTGTGAGGTATTTGTGATAGAGTAAGTGAGGTGTTTTCTCCTAATAATAGAGAGATTCTTAGTTGTTCTCCTATTATTCGAGAGAGGTTGTAATTCTCATATTACTTAGTAAAATCCTTCTATACTTGTCTGTGGACGTAGCCCAATTGGGTGAACCACGTAAATTCTTGTGTGTTCCATTTCTCATTTTATCCTGTCTCTTATCTTTTATCTTGTCGGGTTTACATGCCAGGATCCTAACAGGGACAAGCTTACTCGTCTTTATGCCAGCCGCTCTCGGTCATGTGTCATGAGTCTTAATGAACGTCTATTTCGTCCTCATGATTCATGCTCTCTCAATAAATATCTCTGTTCTATTAAAACCATTGTCGACGAACTGACACTCATTGATACTCTTGTTTCTGATGATGATATCACCATTGCCATTCTTAATGGTGTTGGTCATGACTTCAAAGAACTTACAGCAGGTATTCATGCTCGGGAACACCCCATCTCTTATGAAGAACTTCATGATAAATTAATTGATTACGAGGCTTATCTAAAATGTGAGGATTTACGTTCAACTTCATCAGTTTTGTTTGCCAATACTACTCAGCGACATAATTCGCATCGTGGGCATGGTCATCCAATCGTAAAGCTGTTTCACCACATTAATATAATCCTCACTCCTCATAGTCACCTTCTCGTCGGTTTTCTTCTCCTCAGCAGGCTTCTTCCTGGCAGTTCAATCGTAACATCTATCACCAATGTCGCTACAGAGGTGTTTGCCAATTTTGTGACCAACAAGGTCACAGTGCAAAGCAATGTCCACAAGCAAAAGGTCTCCTTGGTTCCTCACCTGCTGCTCACCGAATCACCACAAACAATGCCCCCAAACAACCTTGGCTCCTGGATTCTGCTGCCACAAATCATGTCACCTCTAAGCTTCACAACCTTTCCCTTCACTCAACCTATGATGGTCCTGATTCTATACTCATTGGTGATGGTACAAGTTTGCGTATCTCTCATTCTGGTTCCACTACATTTTCTCCTTTCACTCTCTCTAATGTACTTTGTGTTCCTTCCATTCAAAAAATCTAGTGTCTGTTTCTCAATTTTGCAAACAACATCTAACTTCTATTGAATTCTTTCCCTCTCGTTTTTCTATGAAGGACCTACACATGGGGCAGACTCTTCTTCAAGGCCCGAATAAGAATGATATTTATGAATGGCCTTCAATTATGCATATGCAACCATCTGCTATGGTTAGTGTCAAAACATCAGTGCATAAGTGGCATAAAAGGCTCGGTCATCCCTCTTCTAGCACCCTTTATTCTCTTCTCAAGAAATTTTCTTTACCTGCCTCTTCTAAAAATATGAGATCAACATTGTGTTCATCTTGCCAATGCAATAAAAGTCATAAGCTTCCATTTACAGTGTCATCTCTTACAAGTCATAGTCTTTTTTAAATCATTTACATTGATGTCTGGGGTCCTGCCCCTATTGAATCCATTGATCAAAACAAGTATTTTGTAATTTTTATGGATCATTTCACTAAATACATTTGGTTTTATCCCATTAAATACAAATATGATGTATTCAATATTTTTCCAATCTTTAAAAATCTTGTGGAAAACTATTTCAAAACCAAAATCATTTCCTTTATTCAGATGGTGGGGGCGAGTTTCAAAAACTCAAACCTTTTTTTGGCAAACTTTGGCATCTCTCATCTCATGACACCACCTCATGCACCTCAACATAATGGCATTGTCGAACGTCATCATCACCACATCGTTGAAACCAGTCTAACTCTTCTTCATCAATCTGATTTTCCTTTAACATTTTGGTCCTATGCATTCCAAACAACCATCTACCTTATAAACCGTCTCCTCACTCCCATTCTAAATAATCGCTTTTCCTTTCATATTTTTTGGTGAAGTTCCAAACTATTCCAAACTTCGTGCTTTTGGGTGTTTATGTTTTCCCTGGTTACGTCCATACAACAAACACAAGCTTGAACCTTGTTCGTGTCCCTATATTTTCTTAGGCTATTCCCTCACCCAAAGTGCCTACAAATATTTTGATCCCGCAACAAATCGTATCTTTCTATCTCGTCATGTGGTCTTTGATGAAACCATCTTTCCATCCCTCTCATCTGCCCAACACTCCCCTACTAGTCACAAATCTTCATCTCCATCAGATGACTTATCTCCCATCTCTGTCCCACTCATCACTAGCTCCATGCAACATCGTCCATCATGATCGCCAACAACAGTCTTATGCACAACTCCACGGTCTCCATCCATATCATCTTTTTCGGGCACTGAAGCTCTTGCCACTATGGGTCCTCCTCCTATCCTCCGATCTCCATAACCTACAAACACATCCGTTCCCATCAATTCCTCATCTTCACACCTCAGCCAAACACACCCCATGATTATTTGATCTCAAAATGGCATTGTTAGACCAAACCGTCAGTTTAATGCCACCACCAGACATAACCTCTCTGACACAGAAAAACCCTCATGTGCTTCATAAGCTTTTCGTGACCTAAAATGGTGAACTGCCATGTCGGATGAATTCAATGCCTTACTATGTAATGGCACATGGGATCTTGTCCCTCCCTCTTTATCTACAAACTTGGTTGGCTGTAAATGGGTTTTCAGAATCAAGCGCAACTCATATGGCACGGTTGATCGTTACAAAGCACGTTTAGTTGCGAAAGGTTTTCATTAGCGACCAGGCATTTATTATAAAGAAACTTTCAGTACTTGTCATTAAGCCCACAACTATCCGAATTGTTCTCAGCCTTGCTGTTACCAATGATTGGTCCCTTCGTCAACTGGATATCAATAATGCATTTCTTCATGGTACACTAACCAAAGCAGTGTTTACGTCTCAACCCCTAGGCTTTACTGACTCCTAGTATCCCACTCATGTATGCCAACTTCGCAAAGCCCTCTATGGCCTCAGATTGCCCCCCGGGCTTGGTATCATGAGCTTTCCTCTTTTCTGTTATCTTATGGTTTTATAAATGCAACTTCTGATCCTTCACTATTTATATACAATCACAGTGCATAGCTCATCTATTTTGTGATATACGTTGATGATTTAGTTGTCACTGACAGTGATCCATATTCCATCGAATCATTCATCAAAGCTATATCAGAAAAATTCTCAGTCAAAGATCTCAGCTCACTACATTACTTTCCTTGGTATTGAAGTGCTTCCCATCCCCACAGGTCTGTTTCTCTCACATCACAAATATATTCATGATCTCTTGGTTCGCACCTGCATGGACGGTGCTAAAAAGGTTGGCACTCCTCTCATTACTACAGACTCCCTTGTTCTCAAAGATGATTCACCTCCTATAAATGCCACTGAAAATAAAAGTGTCATTGGGGCACTGCAGTACCTTAATCTTACTCGCTCAGACATTTCTTTCGCAGTCAACAAGTTATCTCGGTTCATGCATTGCCCTATTGAATCGCACTAGAGTGCCACTAAACGTCTGCTGTGATATCTTAAAGGCACCATCTTTCATGGTCTACATCTTCACAGACATCATAATCCTTCCTTACATGTGTTTTTTGACGTTGATTGGGCTGGGAATTTAGATGATCACACTTCAACCACTGTGTATGTGATATTTAGATGATCACACTTCAACCATTGCTTATGTGATCTTTCTTAGTGGCAATCCTATATCTTGGAGTTCTAAAAAATAGAGGTTTGTTGCATGATCCTTCACAGAGGCCGAGTATCGAGCCATTGCTACCACAACTACAGAATTTGTATAGGTTCACTCTCTACTGACAGAACTTAAATTTCCTTTCCCATGCACACCGGTTATATATTGTGATAACATTGATGCTAATTATATTTGTGCCAACCCTATGTTTCACTCATGCATGAAACATATTGCCATTGATTTTCACTTTGTACGTGACAAAGTGGCTCACGGTTCTCTACGTGTCTCCCATGTTGCTACCGCTGATCAGCTGACCGATGCTCTAACAAAGCCTTTATCCAAACAACATTTCTCCTTTCTACTATCCTAGATTGATATCTCCAATAGAAACACCATCTTGCGGGGGGTATGTAAAGGATATCCACAATCCACTCAAAACAAATTAACTAATTCAACTTGTAAATCGACAACAATAATTCAAATTAGTTTCTTATTCTTTATCCTTAGCTGATGTAACAAATCATGTAAATTTGTTGAACTTATAAGTGTATTTAAACAGCAACAAGAATACTGAATAACTATAAAAGAAAATTATCTCAACATCTCTTCTTCTTTACTACTAATGTTAACTTGTGAGAAATAATTCTTTGTGTATATTTTATTGTGAATTTTAGAGATTATGTTTTGTTTATTTTTTTATTTTTAAAAGTATTTTGAAAAAAATTAAATATTTTTTATTTTTTTTCAAATTAATTCTTTTTGGTGTTTTCATATTATTTTGATGTGTTAATAACAAAAATAATTTTTTTAAAATGAAAAAAATATTTCAATTTATTTTCAA